TATGCCTGTTACAGCTTCCATGGATGGGTAGATATTTACACCCACATTGGCAAGGACCACTTGGAGCAGGTGAGCCCATGAGCTCCTACAGCCCCACAGGTCTATAGGGCAGCCGGGTACTGTGCAAAAGCGCCCGGGCTCTGGGGACTTACCTTTCAAGCACAGTCGGAGAGAAAGAGCATCTCACAGGCATTCCTAAGAGCTATGTAAAATGTCAACCCTCTCTGTTCCAACCCTCATTCCCTCCAGTTTCACGCACTTTAAAACAGCTGCTTTAAAATACTCTGACTTCAAAGCACAGTAAATTAAGCTCCACATAAAGTCCATTCAACTTTTTGTTTAATTTGATAAAAGCTCATCAGACCATTCAAGTTACCTTCTGGTCAATTCTGCCTCAAGAAATCTGCAATTCAGCTACCTGTGGTTTTTCCAATATTTCTGTAAAACATTACTGACAGAATCTGTTGGTCTGCATGCATCAGGTCTTTGGTAAACACTGTTTCAGGGCCACTCAAAGTACCTTTTATACTATTGTGATCTCTTCTTTTTCTCTAGAAGTCTTCATCTTGTGTGATTTTTCTTTCCTCTTGCTCTAACGCTCTGGGATTACTATCATTTTTGTACAGCATTTCTCCTCTATTTTAACCTGATGACATACCATGCCCTCTTCCGTTTTAACTTCTTTCTAAGAAAAAGGATTGGTCTTAATAACAATGGCTTAGCTCTTGACTTGCTGGCTAGGAGGTTTTAGCTTCAGGCTAGACAAAGTTACTGTTAAGCTAGATACTTTCACGTCTATTGACAAAGAACAATAAATGTGCTTACCATAGTCCCTTGCATCTGAGATGATCCCAAAGCACTCTGCAAACCGTGTACTGGGTCCCTCATTCACCATCAAAACATACTTGCCGCTAACTGTGCCAGCAACACTACATAAAAGTTAGTTAAGAGGTGAAAAAGAGAGCAACTTCTCCAAGTGAAATTACAAGGAAATTAAGGGAGGTAGAGTATATTACTTCACAGAGAAGTTGGCCAGAAGACCGAACAGCACACCTTTTTAATGGCCAAAAGGGGGGCAGGGTCCCTGTTCAAGATAGAATCACCAGCAATGCAACGCTGCTCCTCAGGTCTCTGCTGAGCACGATGCGTTATCAGCTGGAGAAAGCACACTGCGCACAGAGCCTATCGGCACGGCTGCTGCTGCCTCTCCTTCTGCAAGCTTTTCATCTAAGCATTATCAAGAAAAAGCAATGCCTAGCCTAAGAGCTTTGACAAGATCCCAACACAGTGGTGACAACAGAAAAATACACAGAAGATTTCATTTTAATGTTTCTTATTTAAATAAGCCATCACACTGGCCGAAAAAGAATCCAGTGAAACCGATCATTTCAAGTACACACAGGATCAGCCTTCCCATCCACCTCCCCTCTCGCCAAATATTGACCTTGCTAGCAAAGCAGCAGTCTCCAAGATTTTAGATTTCCTACCACATAACTACAAATTAGGCCATCAGCAAAGGGGAAAAAAGATTGTTTTATACATAGTGATCATGGGAACCTGAACAGTATCCTATATAAATACAGTCCTGTTATAGCAAAGAGGGTAAGTCTACTCTGTTTCTCTAACGGTATCCCAAAGTTTTAGGAACATGTGTACAGGCCTTCCAAGAGGACCTTATTAAAAAAAGAAGGCGGCTCTGTTTTAAGCATTTAAATCCCTAAAGACAGACAAAAGAAAATACAGGACAAAGTAGAAATACTATTGATTATGCATAATTGGTATAATTAATTTGTAATTAGTTCATTAAAATATATAGGCATTGGAATTATGCTTGTACGTTTCTGGGAATATCCTGCAAGTCACTTGGGATATGCTTATCATTTATTTGATAGATGAAACATTATTAGAAAGACAGCCCATTAAAAATTAATATACCAGAGCAATAATTTCTCGATCTCAGCATTCAGTTTTCTACGTACTCAGATTCCTACTCTACCTCACAAAGAGTTTTTATTAATACTGTTTTTCAGAGTGTGACTTGGGAAGCACAGCATTTTAGACAACTGAGTCACAATATTCTTTACGCCAAGTATGCAAATCAGTTTTGAGAAAACAAAATGACAAATACTATAAGTTATATACCATGAGAGTATTCAGCACCACATCTAATTCTATAATCAAAATTAAGATGGAAAGGTAAAAAGCCTCACACTTCAAAACAAATACCAAATATGAATGGAAAGCAGTAGGAAGAAACTTCCACAGCACCGTAAACAGCCTGGTCTCTAACTGCTTAGCATTCTTTCACTTCTGCAGCGCATCTGGCATCGCTCACTGTCATAAATGAACACGTCGGTATGAGCAGGATTTCAGGGGTTCTTAAATACTGCAGATAACAGTCACTGGTCTCTCACAAGAAGTGACTGAAATGGACTGGTATACACTGGTACTGCAGTAGTATTTCGAAGATGTTATCATACCTTGATGTGGGGGGAAAGTAAGCTAGAATAAGAGTGCATCACTGTTTTTTTCCTGTAACGTTACTTCACTATTCCCGCTGATCTTTCTGAAGTCCTACCAGTATTTCTCAAGTGCCATTTCAACCAACAGCTACAGAAATAATTGATCTTAAAAACGCAGAATACAGTCACATCACCTCCAAGTTCAGTACATAACACCAAAATTTCCTTAAACTTCTATAACGGATAGAGAGAGTCAGTCCTTATGCATGTAATTATGAGCACCATGAATAGACCTTCTGCTCAGAATCACCTCTTAAAATGTATTTTGCTCCCCACCCTACCTCCATCAACACTAATGGGAGCCTAGAAAGGTTGGTCTTTCACTGATGCACCTGATACACTGAGCCATGAAGCCAGGCCATGTGAATACCCATCTTCATTTAAAAAAAAAAATTTCTAAAAAAAAAAAGTCATATGATTACTCAAAAAGAGCAAAATCAACAGTGGATATGTAGTGCAAGTAGTGTCATTTGCCATTATAAGGCTTGAATCTTTTCTTGCAAAATAAAAGAGTATGTGCCTAAAAAAACCCCAAACTTTCATTTTTTAAAGAAGGGTAAAATTGCAAAAAGAAATGTAGAAAACAGAGTTAGGTTTCCAGGTCCTTTAAGCCACAATTAAACATTTTACTGTAATTTTGTGCTTCTCAGCAAATCGGCTTTAAGAATTCTGAACAGCCTCCCAGGAACCACATACTTTTTTTTTTCCCGCCTCCAATCTAGCATGGACAATTATTTATCTTCTTTGCCCTGCACTCAAGAATGTGATGGATGTATTTACACAAACACACACAGAGTCACAGAAATCTCTATATAAAATTAATCTGCAGATGATGAAAAGTGTAAAAGATCTAGGAGGCAAATCCCAAACAAAAGAGCATACTTTATACATAAATATCTTGAAATTATAAAGATCTGAGATTAAGTGGTTTACCACTCATTTAGAATTGATTAGAATGTATTTAAATTTAGCTGAAAGTACCACAACATTGCTCATGTATTTGCATCTGCGAATAAGTAAATAAAAAGCCTGTTATTAAAGCCTTCATTAATTCTGATTATATGAGAACTTAAAAGCAAATCTGTGTATTACTGCTCTGTAAAGACTCCTAGCAGCTCTACAGTAAAGCTGGCACTGCAACACAACATGTGTCAGCAAAAATGACTAACAGAATCTATTTTCAGTAATCTTAAATCACACTGGTAAAATATAGAATTAATGGTTTTGCATAACACTTCAAATATTTTTTATTCTAATTCATTCCAATTCATGCCTTATTGTATCAAAAAGTGAATTTTATATCACTTGACATTTATGCACAACAGTTGAACACATTATATTAAACTACAATGTTTAGGCAGTATTCAGACGTGATGTGTATATTATTATGAAGAGTGATCCAGCTATTTTATTTCCTTATAAATATGATGGCTAGAGGTTTAAAAATATATCACGTTGACTAGAAACATGAAGAACATTTCATTCTGACTACAGATTTTGAGAGTTTCTATATATTTAATTGAAGCCAATATTTTTGAAAGAAGGATTCATTAATTTTAGTAGAATTTTCCCCCAATTAAAGACTTGTCTATTGATTTCTAAGGAGTTTAACAATTAAGTATATAATCTACCCCAAAATGGTTCTTCTTGGAGAAATTAAGTTTTAAGCTAGGAATGACTTCTGAAAGTCAACTTCCCCCCTGCCCCCCTCCCCCCACCCTGAAAATTCTACCCGTATCTCTGGCATACTGGTTTAATAGTTTAAGCAGAGAAGCGTAACTGAAAAATTATTAATTAGGTTCTTCAATCGCTATTCTTATACTAATATAAATAAATGTATTAAAGCAAATTTGTGTTTACAGAAACCAACACCAATTCACCTGTCAGCCCTGACGTTCCCTTTCAAATGTGAAGGAAGTCCTGGTAAAGCCACCTCTGCAAACTCTACTTTTCATGGCTCGATTCAAAGCCTGAGTGAATCTTTCCATGACTTGAGTGGGACCACAGATCGCAGACCAGCACGGGTCTATACTCCATTTATAAATGAAAGGTGATTTGGGGCAGTGAGGGGAGAAAAAGCAAAAGACTCATTAAATTTGGTACAAGGGAAATGATGTTGCAATACCTAAGAAAGTTTGCTTGCCACTCGCATAGTTGAAAAGTCACTCCAAGTTAAAACAAAATAAAACAAAAACCAACCTCCCCCCCCAACATTTAGCCATTAAACTCAGAGTTATGAGGTGGAGTTTGATTAAAGATTTTGTACTTTATCACGTCCGATAATCAGACTGGTTTAGAACAAGCTTTACACTATACTTATAGCGTTGGCATCAAAATAAATTACTTTTCCCTATTTTGTTTCTAGGCCCAAGTGCCAAGTCAATTACCCAGTAATCAACATTACAAAACATTTTAAGGCACCGTACAAGACAAAGGATCAAAGGGATTTTTAGTATTTAGTTATACTGAAAAGTATACCTGATAGTCTAAAATGCTGAATCCTAAACCGTTTCTGTCTTTCTCCAGTTCAATAACCTTCACATCAGGAGACCATAATGCTAATTCCCCTTCTTCCTCCTCAGGATTAATGTCTTCCTCAGGTTTCACCTGAAAAATAAAAGCTCTAGTTCAAATACTATTCTTTCAGTTCTTTACAAACACTATTCCTTCAATATTTTGATTATTAATGCCTCATACATGCCCTAAAATATGACCTTTATGGAATTACAACTTTATTGAACATTATGCATCCAGTTTTCTCAGGCTTGCTGCCTTGGATACTTCCTTGGGACTATGCCTCCATGTTTTGAGCATCAGAGCCCAACCTGGCATACAAATATCCATGTATTAGTCAAATTAGTTGTTATAATATTACTAACCTGTTACATGTTGATGAACTTCAGCTGTCCCATTAGATGCATAAAGGAAAAATAAATATCTTAGCATAAAAGATTTAACCACAGACAGCTAATAGAAAGACCAGATGATCAGGCACATCTGATACTTGTGGTATTAAATATGCAAAGAAAAAATTCTTATATTTTAATTATGCAAATAGTATCTAATTTGAAAAAACAGTTTCTTTCACAATTTTTGTTCTAAGGTATAAAAGAAAGAAGTATAGTTACCCAATTTTGTTGGGTAAGGACAGCTTCATAAATAGATCTTTCAAAAAGACATCTTTTGTTGTCTAATTTAAAATGCGTGTTTTAACATTACTGCTATTTTATCAATACAATCTTTACAAAATATCAATGTATGATGTCCCAAGAAAAACATTAAAATCTTGTACCAATAACTTCACACTGGTTTAACTTTATTTCTTTGGACAAATGTGCCTATTACACAGAGCACTGCCATGAGACAAAAGGAAGAAATTTTTCTTCCATACACTCTTGTTACTTTTGACAAAAGAAAGCAGAAATATTGTGAGATTGCTCTAAGGAGAAGGCAACCTCTGTTCACTTTATGGCAAAGACGTGCAACTGACAGGATGCACATAGAAAATGTTCAGTAAAATGCAACATCAAAAACCACAGTGGAACAAGTTCTGTTGCAACAGAAAGGGTCTTTTACAAAAAGGCGTAATACTGTACACCTTATTCTTCCATGAAACATCCATATTTCTTGTTTAACTCTCCACCTTAGAGGAAATTAGATCAGAAAATATCAGAAAAGATGAGAAGTTAAGGTGTAAATACTTATTATAAATAGGAACAACCATTACAAGTGTCAAGCTTTATTTTTCACTTTAAAGCTTCTGCAATGGAAAGAAACATTAAGTTTCATTTTTCCCCAGTTCTATAAAAACCTACTCAGAACATGGAAGTAATCAGCTAATGGTGGCAAGGATGTGATTTAGTATAATTCAGAGCTCTCACTCACCTATTAAGTGTAAGAATGATGAATGGGATGTACGTAGTCAGCATGCTAGCTCGGTGATTTACCTGCCTTGTATTTATAGTACAATGAAGTTTCTCATGACCAACCTGTATAAACTGTAGTAAAAGTACCAGTGTTGCAAACATGAACTATCTTTCACTGAAACACCAGCTGTCCCTTATGAGCCCAGAGTGAATGGCAAAGGCAGCTTTATATGACAATTTAATACAGAACTGCCTCATATAACTATATGTTTTAGGAAATGTTATTTAAGACTGAAAAGTGGTCTGGATCAAACAGCAAAAGGAAAACAGAAATACTGTCTTTAGAAAGCTAAATCACTTTCTCAGAAATATATGCACTTTTTCAAAAAGTTACTGTCCTTTTACACAACTGAATGACATGAGAAGTCTACCTTTTGTTCTGGAGGGGAAACTCCCACGGTGGGTTCATCCACGAGAGACTCACTGCCATCATCAAAAAGTCGCCGACAGCAAACCAATGTAAATGGGGGTGGCACTTCTTTTAGAAAAGTGATTGCCTCGCGGCGTGATTTTCCGTACAGCTGAACTCCATTTACCTACACAGAAGGGGAAACACACATCCACACTAAGATAATTAAAAGGATATCAACCAGATTCTTTTATTAATTTTTTTGCATACATGTCTTTCCCCAGCTGAATGTTAAAGTCTAATTTTACCTAGGGATTCTGGCAAAGCTTGCATAGTTTTATTAACGTATGCTTCTGAAGTATACATGCATTACTGTAAGACGTAAACTTAATCTGCAAGATCTTGTGACTACTGACTGCTACATCACGTCTCTCCTCTCAGCTTCCTCTAACTTGTTTTCTGCTCACTACTTTTCCTAGCCTAAATCTTTCCTAGCATTGTTATTTCATTCTCACCTGTTTCTTTGTTGGGGATTTTTTTTTTAGCATTAGGCTTATGTGTTTGAATTTAAAAAGGTAAAAAAATTAATTTTCAAAAATATTTTAAGAAAACACAGATTTTGAGCTCTGATAAAAAACTTGAAGTCAGAACTAGCACAACTTTGTCAATTTGTTTAAAATGAACAAAATGGTTGAAACTAAAATAGATCCTACAGAAAACATGCAAGAATGTTTATATAATAAAAAAGAAACCAATTACAGTAAATAATTAATCAGAAAACTCTTACAAGGATCAAAGCTTACCATCCCATAAGCTTTACATCCTGAGTGACAACATAAGACCATAAGGCCATTGTCAATGGATGTTTTAAACCACAGACTTAAAAAAAAGAAAGAAAAAGATAGATAGATAATAATGCTGCTTTAAAAATGGGATACTGCAGTTGTACTTCCTCAGGGAAATAAAAATACAGTGATTCATCCTCTTCTACATATTTTATAACCTGCAATATCATGAGGGTACATCTATTTGCACCATAGCGGTATTCTTAAATATGAGAAAGCAGAACGTCAGTAGGTGTCATAGATGTAGAATATTGACGAGCAGTGCAACCCCAAAAGAGCAAGGGTTTAACCCAATTAGTGCTATGGACTCAATCCCAACACCTCTTGTGTTTCAGGGATTTGTTTCAGGCTAGCTCAATTCTGCTCTCATGACCAAATGTCCAAAGTCGCTGGAGTGCAACCACTGGTTTAGGAATCCAGTGCACATCATCCACAACATGAACCAAAGCACAGTAAGTGGGGATAATTGAAGATTCTCTTCAATACTTCACTCCATACCCAAACTGCAATGCTAATGTAGATGGACCCACAACTGATCATAGAAAATACAGCACGTAAATATACAATATACATGTACACACCTCTGTACACGTGTACTTGAGGCAGAGCCTCGCCATATACTTCCCAGGTCTCCCTGTTCTTTAGAGGGACTCAATCTTGTGCAAAACTGCACAGCAATTTCACTTTAGCCACCATTTTCTTCCTGATCACCTCTATTTTTTCCCCAATTTTTCCTTTGTGCTTTTTACAGTGTAAATATAGCTTATACTGCTGGGAAACACAGAGTTCCTCTCACACTATAATCCAGCCAAGAAGAAAAATTCAGAGTGGTGTAACTGGCCTCCAACATGGTAAGACAAACTGCTATGGGTTTTTTCTGTACGAATTACAGCAACTGCTGAGCTATCAGGCTAATCCATTAGTTAATTATTTAAGCAGAAGTATCTACGCATAAGGATTTTTTAATGCATTGAAAGCGGCAGTATGGTGGAAAGTTACCAGCTCTTCTCAGCGTACTGTGATTGATGGAGAAGAGCTACCGCACACTCCCAGGCAGACCCGGGGACTCCCATTTCTCCTCTTGCAGCTGCCAGAAATCAGCCTCTCAACACACAAGGTGCCCAACACCCCATTCATTCACCACACCACTCTAGTTAGTTGTGCCATCAAATAGGAGCAAGTGAAATTTTTTAACAAAACTAGAAGGACACAAGGAAGCAATTTATTCCTAAAAAAGAACACAATGAAATTAGCTAAAACTGGGGTGGGGAGTGGGGAGGGAGGACAGGGAAGAAAATACCATGCTTTCTATCATAATTCAAACACATCATTAAAAATAATCAACATTCAACCTCACTATATATAAAAAAAATTCTTGCTGATCACATTTTAATCCCAACTGTATCAGGCCCAGGTAGAGCTGCTTGTTTGGGGAATGGGGCTGTCACTTTTTCCATTGCAAACCCCTACTTAAGGGGATTTATAACTTGGCTGCAAAAACATACTCTGGGCTAAACCTGGCATATATAGCTTTAGCCCTGGAGCACATTTTTATTTTGTTGGGGTTTTTTCCCAGCTACAGAGTAGAAAAAAATTTATGCTCACTAGGTCTGGACATATCTGTGAACTTAATTGTAAGTACACAGTAATAAGTAAAACTGTTAAATATATACAATTAAAGTTTCCTAAGTTACTCTGCAGCACTGCATTATTGCTTTTTGTATACAATTTCTTGTTTAATGGCCAAGGAATTTAAACAACACTTCGAGCATTCCATTAATCCCTTCCTTTAGGAATCTAGATTTCCTCCATTAAGCAATAATTGAAGAAAATGTTTTAGGTCTTAGTGATATCAGTATGAATTTTTGATGTTAAAGGGTGAACAACAAGTAAAAGCAAGAGAGCTGTACACCTAACAAATTAATCTTTCAGAAGACCTAATTCTGTTCCCATTGATGTCACTTAAATATTCTTTGCATCCACTAAAAAAAGGTTCAAATTCAAAATATTCCAGAAAGAGCAAGTATTCAATAGGAAATTAATGTCTTTTCACTTGCAGGCTGAGATACTGATAGATACACATACATACACACACACACAAAATAGGTATTATTTTAATAGAATCAAATAAATAGTTTTCCTGGCAAACAGGTCTGGTCTGATTCCGATAACTTCAAAGCTGCCCCGATACCTCTTTATACATATTTAAAGAAACTGATGTACTAGCTCATACACACAAATGTCTTTCAACACTCAACAAGCAAGTTGCGTAACAGGAACCGCTATTCCTGAGACTGTTGTAAATTTTTTAGGAGTGACAAATATTAAGAAAGATTATCCACCACAAAAGCTAATGCCAAATGGCTCAAAAGACTGAGCTAAAGGACTACAGATACAAATACATTCAATACAAATATTATCTCTGCCCTTATAACTCTTGATACTCATGTTAAAACATTTCAGAAAAAAACCTCCATGAAGTCACTAAGAGGTCACAAGAATTTGACATTTTGTCCATAAAGGAGGAATGAAACAGTGAAGAAAATGAATGTGACTTCCAAAGCACTACTGTATCTGCTTCCACAACCAACTCTTGAATACTACTGTTGCACACACAGCAGCCAAACTAGAATTTAACACAAGCATTTTTAAGAAGGCTAAGCAAACAGGAAATACATCAGTTCTATTTTTTTGGGGGGGAGGGTTTTTTTGGTTTTTTACCTCCAGAAGTTCATCCTCCAGTTGCAGAAGACCAAGTGTTGCAGCTGGACCATCTGAAGCAATTGATGATATATAATGATGTCCATCAAACGTGTCAAGCTCAACTCCTAATCTTAAAGTGTGGATGGGTAATAGCTGCCAAAAGATAAGTATGGCTGAGAATGTATACATCTTTATCTACCGCAATATAAACATATTTAGGATTCAGTAGCTCACCAAATTAAACTAAGCACACAGTAAGATGATTAATTCTTCATACTGACATCATCTGCATTACAGCACAAGTGTCCATAATTTCTCTATACAAACTGTTTGCACAAATAAAAACAACTGATCTGCCCTTTAGGGGAAAAGGCAATTTGAACTGTATTCTTAAATAAGGTTACCATATTGGAAAAAATGCAAAGAAAGTACCACCTAAAGTCTATCCTACCCAAAAGGTGGGTTTTCAACAAAACTGAAAGAAATTCCATAATCACCATAAAATATCATCATGAGATCAGCTGTCTTACTCCTTTAGGAGCTACACTACTTTGAGGTAGGAAAAATATCCATGAAGCGTCCTCTGCAAATAGCTAATAATACTGGCATCCTTGTTTCTGCAAGGTGAAATCACTGATTTTATGTTAGCCTTTTCCCAGTGGGCCTCCTTAATTTGGAATTTTTCTCTAGGGAGCCTCCAACCATTAGTGTCTTAGGTCTGCTAATATTAGGAAGACTAGCATAAAACTGATAGACTATTCAGACAAGACAGCAGAAATCATGGCAACCTGGGGAGAAGAGATGATCAGCAGTATCTGCTCCTTCATTTTGGCCATTTTCTGGCTTTTTATTACTTAAGTTGAAACACTGACTGTCCTTCTCATTCCCAATTAATTCTGGATATTCGAGTAAAAGGAGCAATCCATTGATCCTCAACATTCCCTCACACCCATGTCTGATTATGAATTTATGGTCTTTCTTCACTGAGACATCCCCACAAGTATATAAATGCATCACCTCCACAAACCTCTTTTGCACAATATTAACATACGTATCTTGAAAATCTCTCGAAAGTCTTGGAAGACTGAAATTAATTTCAGCTCTGACCATTTCGATTAAAAGGACCTCCCTCTCCCTGAGCCAGGATCACTATAGCAAACTCCTCTGCAGGATGACAACATTGTTCAGCAGAGTTTCAACCTCTGCTCCATTCTGTAGTGGCTTTCAACAACTGGATTTCAATGCAATTAAGCACCCCAAAATTTGAGGCTTATATGCATGGTTTGGGTTTTGTTTCTTTTTTTTTGTTTGGGGGTGCGTGTGTGTTAAAAGGTTCATTTGCCCATGCTACAAAAAGGTATTGGACCAGTCCAGAAGATAAGCAGAATATTGGCAGCCTTTTTCTGGAAAAGTAAGATAGAGCCACAAAGCCACTAAATTTCTGAAACACATAAATCTGGAATCGTGTCATGTCCTCCTGGGATTACTCTGCCAACATATACCATGAAGGAAACCATTAGGTAAGTCATACCTTTGAGTACTTCTGGAGCTCCGAATCGTCTGTAATGGGCATATCCACATTCACAACCTAAAAATTGTACATCGTAACATTTTTCAATAGCAGGACAATAAAGACTTTACCAGAATGATGAATTCTGGCAAAAAACTGATGAGCAAAATAAACTGTACTTAAACAAAGTCACATTGATGCAAAATAATTTTAAACAAATGTTAGAAAAATCTTTCAGACACAGAACATTTACAACTAGGAATGTGGTGATTATGCACTATTAGCAGTGCATAATATTATCCTATTTCCAAAGCCCAAGTGCCAATTTTAGTCAAGTTCAGTAATCCTGTATAAGCACAAAATGCCATTATGTTTGACACAAATACCCCAACTGACTTGCCAATCAGAATTTGAAAAGTACGATAGCTTAAGTTATTACTTCAGGCTATAGTACAGCCATCTAACATCTAGACTAAACCACCACCTTCTGCAGCATGTTTCTAACATGGCTTGAAATACATGAGTTTAATTACCAAATTTGAATGCAAAGTGGATTCAGTGACAAGAAACAGTGACAAGAAACCCCTTCAGTATATCTTCATTTTTTTATATTAATAAAATAACTATGTTCACCACCAGCTTTCTTGTAATGTTCTTCCTTAACATAATTTATCTATCTGTAACCTTAGAAGGTTATTTACTCCAATTTTAAATGTAATAAGATGACATCTGTGGTGATCTATGGCCCAGGGTTGGAGTATGGGACACTGAACTTGAATATGTTTGGGAGGATTGCTACACTTGTTAGATTTGGAAGATATATAGCCTTGCAAAAAATCAGGTAACTTCAGGCTCCTTTGGAAATTTCTAGTTTAACAAAGTATTACGAAACAATACGAAGCCTCAGCTTTTTCTTTTGGCTTTATTTTAAATAGGGTTTCTAGCATCTTGTTTTCCAGTACCTAGGGTATTTTTCCCAACAGACAGAATCAATTTCACTTCCATTCAGTTGTAACTAAATGAATCTATGACTGAGAACTCCTCACGCTTAGGTACCTGGCAACAAATACCACACAGTCATACATCCCTGTACAGATTTTTTTCAGCAGGATCTCAGCTCCTTCCATTGGTACCACAAAGGATCAGCAACACAGAAGCCATGAGTGACACCAAACCCTCTCTTCAAACAGCTATGTCCTCTGAAGAGAAATACTTCTGAGAGAATACTCAAACCTATAGGCACCTTCAGGATGACTTTCTGGGAGCTGAGTGTAGGAGTGAGGATAGCGTGAAACAGGGACTGTGCTATCAGGCTCAAATTGAACGAAACATTGTTATTGAACGCAGCCAAGCAAGACTAGAGGTAGGTACAGACGACAAGAACTGGAAGAACTGAAAAATGACTTTCAAAATGGGATGCCACAACAGTTTCCTTCTATTATTTAAAAGGACCAATCGTTAACATTTTCACTCCTGACATTTTACTGGCGGCAACTAAAGAAGAATTAGAAACGGACGGTTTCACAAACTAAGCAGGTTTTCGTCCTCTGTGGGAAGTGTGATAGTGCTAAGGGAAGTAATATCAGACTCTTGAAATGTAAGGATGGGAATACCAAGCAACTGAAGTGGGCAGCCAAACAGATTTATTGCATCATGTACATAATCTTACACGAATTTCAGATCTTAAAGGAGTGCTAATGGAAAGAAGAGAAGTGAGTTTCTCAATGCAATTCTTAAAGCTACTTTAAATCTTCCAGTGAGTGACTGGAACGATGGCTACTCCAAGTAGTAAAAATAAGTGTCTCTAAATCAACTGGACAAGCATTGCAAAGACAAACAGGGCATTTTCTTGGTGATGGTGAGAATTTTTTAAGTCTTCGGAAAGAACGCTGGCTGGAGTCTTTTATCTGTACTCACTGGCTAACACAGCACTGAAAAGCAGCAGTGAATTACAATTTCAGTCAACTCCTTATGACAATTCATCAAAACAATCTTTTGCTTGGCAATTATTTAATATGAAGTGAAGAAATATCTAATAGACACTGGCACCACAAAGTTACACTACCATGAATTACTTCCTATTTTCCCAGCATGTTTGAAAATCATTCTTTCATTCTTCCAATAAAATTGTAAGATTCTTCATGAAACACAGGAGCTCTATCCTGAGCCTTTTTTCCACAGTGCACAATAAAACAAATAGATCATAAGTGAAATCATAAAAATGCCACATTTTAAGTGGCTGCTATGATGCAGATTTAAAAGTACAGTTGATTTTCTTAAATCACTGTTCCTGTCTACTCTCTGTATAACAATAGTATCTATATAAACAGAATAAAAAATAACAAAACAACAACTCATTATAACACTCCTATATTTCAGCCTTGATGTTACAGGAAACAAAATTTGATGTTACTGATCTGTTCCAAACACTAAACTGTTCTATAAACAGCCTGTAATGCTAATGTACAGATCTGTAATTAGAAGAAATAACATACGTGAATGTAGTTTATTGAAAGATAACATACCATAACTTCGTATTCAGGTCCCAGCAGGTTTTCCCACTTGGATTTCAGCTCATGTGCTGGAGGGAGTGGAACTCTTCCTAAATATGAAAGTGAATATTAAATTTACAAGCATATTGTACATTCAGAAGTACATTTACTTCTAAGTACTTCAATAAAAATTCAGTTAAATAAAAGATTAGAGGGAATAATCCCAAAAAGGAAAGTGCATTAAGCTGAGTCTATCAAACAGTGCAAATTAAAAATGTCTTTCTTAGGAAAACAATGCAAAATGTCAGCTACTGCTAACGTGTGATTTATTCAACTGAGAAGCAGAAGAGGTGATGCTTGCATTGATGAGATGCAAGTTCTCTACCATATAGTACTGTAAATAAATCATTCTTTCAGGCTGCAAAACAAATTTCACATGACTTCGTAATTTGTTACTATAAAAATGCTTGCCACTCCAGGGAAGCATTAGCTCCCACCAAAAGGAACCCCCTTAAGAAGTAAAACACCTGACAAGATATTGCTGTTATCGAGGGGCTGCGTCAGCACAATGCAGTCACACACTTTATTTATACATTTGGCAGGTATAAAGGCTTGTCTAGTTTAATTAGGCCAGTAAGTAACATGAGCTTTAATATAAGCTCCAGTTCTAAACCAGTCTTCCGTGGGAACTTGGCTATCTTGACATTTATATCTTTTCAGCTTTCTTACTTATGCAACCAAGGCAGTATTACATTCATATAAGACAATTTGACAGAGCTAGACAGCATAAAATGACTGGCTGCCCCGCATTTGACCCCATCCAGAAGCTCAGTGCACATATAAAGTTCCAAGCCAAAGCAATGTTTAGCTGGTAAGAATCAAGCTCTAAAGCAAATTCCATCTAGCAGCTACAGCAGCAGCAACTGGGGTCTGAATTACTGAAAACTGATTTTTTTCCCCCTGAACGACTGTAATAGTTTGTCAGATGTCTAGACAAGGCACAGACCACTTAGTATTGCTGATGTGTCGGTGTCGTACTAAAATTTAGAATGTAAATCACAACCTCACATTTTGCACACAAACTAGCAAGTCAAATACCTCAAGGGGGGAATTTTGAAGACACCAAGAGAAGCTCAGAGCCTACCCACTAGCAAAAGCCAACACAAATGCGATGTCAAGCTGCCTCTGCTTTCAACACCTTTGTAGACTGCAAAGATAAAACGTGAGCTTTGCAATACAATCCTCATTACATCATTTCGTAACTTTGAAGTTTTCCACTTACTATAAACAAAGATTTAAGTTAACTTATACAACAACATAACCCACCACTCTTCCACTCACTTTCTGTCATGCCAGATAGGCAAATTCTGTCTAATCTGCACTGAGAAACCACATGCCTCAGAACCTAACACTGGAGATTCCACTTGGAAATATCCAGAGCATCTTTAACCTATAGGCTCAAGGAGAATACTGATAGTCAAGGATTCCAGCAATTCAGATAACTATTTTCTGCCACCAAAAAGAGACCCCACCAAGAACAAAAACTTGGGTTTGTAAACACCGACCACAGTTCTCTCTGAAATAAATTATCTCCTTAAAAAAAAAGAAGACAGACAAATTGTCGCGAAATTCCTAGCTGTGAGTTAAGGGGTTTTCCTTCCAGTTAAATTTAATTTAAGTTTCTAAGGGGAAGTCGTCTTCGCGAGCCTTGTTATCAAGTACAGGCTGATCACTATCTTTTCTTCCCAACTGTAGCAAAAATAGAACACCAGTGCATTTTTCTACTCCTTCTATTTGCAGAAATACATAGGGACAGAAATTCTTTAGTCTTTTTTTCTGCTATTACGAAGTTATAGCATGAACACACAGGACCTAAGCACCTGCAATCCCCTGTGCAGCCAAATATAGATTTCAAGGTTCACCAGGAATAATGAATCTTAGGGTCAAGCTCAAAGTTCAGTTCAGTAACTGTAAGCTGTGTTCAGCTGGCTGAATACAGATTTTTTTGTCACTTCCAAAACACATTACTAAAATCTATGAGTTGTTCAGAGCAGGTGCTGATGCATGTCTCCATTTGAAGTTTCCCCTTTTCTTTCTTTCAAACACACTTTGAAGTCTTTTCTTCAACTTCCTCAGAACTGTGGAAATGTTGGCTGGAGGGATTTGGATTAAATACATTCAATTCCAATGGTATCACCCAATTCACTTAAAATGCTCCTTTTTCCCCAAACAGCTTTTTCCACATGGCAGCTAATAGGAAGTTTCTTTCTAGTGTCTCATCCAGCTGGATTTCTCATGACCGGAGATATGTACCACATCTTCAGAAATGAAAACACTTCGCAAGGGACAGCTTTCATTAGCAACAACTTTCAACATATTTAGTCTGTCCTTCTGCCTGTACTTCCACAATTTTTCGTTTCTAATTACCAAGCGTCAAGAATAAATCACAAGTGTATTGTAAAAATCATCTTTCCTGGTCAAAATTACTGGCATCTTCAAAATTGGGATCTTTTCTTCTTGCAATTTCCTCCTAGTTTCACAAACTTACTATACACGGATGCGTACTGTGCTCTAGTGTACTTCATTAATGCACTACCTTTATCTGCCCTACTGTTGAATATTTTTCCCAGCCGTCTCTAAGTGCCTGACTAGCATCATCATATCTTTGGGTTTTGAGTACTGCTGCAAGGCAAAAGAAAGCAGTTCTGCCCAGTCTGCAGTCTTGCAGATGCAGCTGTTAATTGCCTCTAGTCTGCTAGCAGAAAGTTTCAGGCCTCGTGCACATTGCATCCAAAACCATGTTGCCTTTGTAACAGAACTGCTTAAGCACGGTTTTGCCTGGCCAGAATTACTATTTAATACCTCTCCAGGAAACACAATTTAATAAGAATTTCACACAACTGGGATTAAAGGGAAGTAATACATATTCTATAATACATACCTTTTACATTAAACTTCTAAAAGCATTTCCAGAGTTTAGTTAGAGCGTTAAATTAGCAGTATTTACTTTAGCACCATTATAATGAAGTACCCCTCACCATGTCCAAAATAAGCACCTATCTTTGGAATTTAAACTTGGCCATTAAATTCTATTCGAAGGTGAAATCTTATACATCATATTTCAGTATGAATAAACTTTGCAACTAAGTATTTCAACTTTTTAACAGAGATACACACACACATTTTATAGTTGCATAAAGCTTCTGCAGAGCCTTGTAACTCAAAGTGGTTTTTCACTCAAAGAAAAACCCCAGTTTAATCAAGCAATGATACTTGCTTACCATTGCATTAAATGCTCCTGATTCATTACTGAGTTTCAAAGCCAAGCCCATTGCATTACCCTGCTGGCCCAAGGAAGACCAGCACTGCTAGATGGTATCAAGGGCAGTATCCAACTGCAAACAAACAGTAACTTCAGTGTTTAAATTTTGGTATCCCAAGACACACTGTGCGTACAAACACATTATCCTGTATTCTCCAGGGTAAGGGGAGCTTGGATAGATAGGAGAATAAAAAAATCTCATAGCACAGTTGCTACATGATGCACTGGGGAATGCAGTGCAGATATACCACGCTGCCCCTGCAAGGAATCAGCATGGGTCCAACAGGCAGCTATGGATTCCAGGCAATGAAGCCCTTGCCAGACCCAGGTGCATCTGCACCATACTCTGCAGAGCTCCAAGGAAGAAGATTATGAGATTTACACAATGCTAGAATTGAAGGGGAGCCACTCATATACATACAACTTGGTTACAAACTCCTTTTGAAACTAAGGGCTTTGGAGTATTTACAGAGAGGCAGTGGATCCACATCAAAGCAGTTTGGGTCTGCTGTGAAAAGGGCTCAAAACCACAGTTTGATCCAAGCTGATTATGAGCAGAACAGAGATCACTAAGGCATATCTAGATAATACACCTTGAGACTAACAGAGTTTGTTAACTTCAAGCCAGGTAAAAGCAATTTTAGTTCCCAGCATAAACTGATCCTGGCATTGATATACCATATTTGCACAGCACTAGGTATTAGGTAAGAAATTCCTCAGAAAGTTCTCTTTGCATCAGGGCAGACATCTGCAGCCTGTGACAGAAGATAACCCAATCGTGAGTAGTCAGGAACTGACTACAGATACATCGTTCGCTTCAGTAGAAAAAGAAAATACTTCATGCATAGAAAGTCTCACAGTAAAAAAGGACTGGGTAAGTGGCACAGGACAGCATGTGTTGCTCTTTTCTAGCCTCCGTCATAGCGAGTGTAAATCTTCCTGGCTCTTCTGCCCCTAAATATGTCCTACTGTTAAGTCCTTAAGTTATTCGTCCATTGTAACTACAAATCAATATATGCTTTTCCATTCATACAGCTAAAACAATGCTTTGATAACCTCACATCTCAGCTACTCAATCACCTCTGTTTTGGCTTCCTGTTTCTGGGAACATGCAAAAGTCACAACAAAGGATGTCTGGTTATAAGGCTTGGACAGAAAAGTAAAACAGAATGGAACATAGGAACTGCTACATTTCTCTCGTTTCCAGGTTGTCTTTAATACTGACAGATCTTCCACAATCATAGCAAAATTGTTATTCATTGACAGCCATAATTTAGAATCCTCTATTACATCTACATATCTTAGAAACTACAAGGCATAAGGATAATTTATGCTGATTTTAACACAAGCTGTAGAAATTCACCCAGAAGTTCCTGTAGAAGAGCCCAGAAATCTGTAGGGGAATCGAAGCACGCCTTCTGGAAAGACCTCCAACCTTGATTCAGAAGTCAGCTAAAAATGAAAGCAATCCATGCCTTTGTGATCTACCCCTATGTCCAATTGCCTTTGCTGTTAAAAACACATGCCTAATTCGAACTCCTGTTCAGCTCCGATTCCAGCTATCACGTCTTTATGCCTATTATGCCTTTGCCAGACCAGAGATTTTCATCTGCCTGCACAGGTGTGCAGTCAACAATTTCCAGTTCAGCTAGTAAGCTCAGGACAAGCAAGCCAGAAATTGCGTGTCTCAAGACTGAACTCTAGTTTCCAACAGTAGCATGGGAGGAAGCAATATGCAACAGTATTAGTACCACAAGGTAAATGAGTTGGGTCTGGGAACCAGCAGGCAGTAAGGAGAGGTTCATTGCCAAGTGGGGAATCTCACAGGAGGTGGACATAACTTGCGCTAGGCTTCCTGCTTCTCTGCACTCCAGGAAATGTCAGTGACCAGGAGCACTATACGCAGGTCAAGCAAACAGGAGCAAGGCAGTTACATGGCAGGTGACACACAAGTGAGACAGATGTTCACAGAAATGGCATCTGTCTCATTTGCGTGGAAAATGACCTACAAATGGAGACATGTCACAAGACATGATCCCCTGTCCCTGCTGCTGCGGCCATCTCTGGTCCTTCAGCAAGCCCTACTCAGTCAAAACTCTCGAGGGAGGATGCTGCAGCACAGGTCACAGGTTGTAGGAGGCCAAGTCAAGCAGCTCGGAAGGTGAGTTCTGATGAAGTTACTGCAGTGCCAAAGGAGGAAACTGCAACAAATGGGCATTAGAGATGATGTACAGGAAACCAACAGAATATTTTGAAAAGACTCTGCAGACGCAGGAGCCTAAGACCTGTGAGGGCAAGAAGATAGAAATGACTGAGGTAACAGTCTGTTATGACTGAGGATCAGGAAGTAGATGTGAATTCCCAAGAGTTCCATCTCCTGATGCTGTTCACCTAGCAATCTGGTTCAGGGCCCTGGCAGCAGAGGAGGATGAACAAATCTTCTCTGTCAGGAAGAGATTGCAGGCAGGACACCTCAGGTCATCAGAGTAGGATCAAGGCTAGAAAGAGAAATTGGTGAGCTAGAGGCATTCAGCTCTATAGAGCTTATGAGATTCACTCCAGAGTACTGAAAGGGCTGCACTGCACTGTCTATAATCTACAAAAAACAACGCAAAACAAAACATGGCAATCAAAGGGAAATGGCAATCACTGGGAAAGGGCAAGCTTTATGCAAGGAGGAAAATCCAGAGAATTATAGGCCAGTCAGTCTCACCTTTGGCCCTGGAGAGATCATGAGATACTTCCTCTTGGAATTCATTTCCGAAGACATAAATGATAAGAAGGCAAATCAGGAACAGTTAATACAGATTTGCCAAATAACTGACCAATCTGACTGCCAAGATAGCTATGTGGATGAAGGGTGTAATACACCTCAACTTTACCGAAGCTTTTGACACCATTTACATTAGCATTCTCATTTGGAAACTAAGGAAGCATGAGTTTGATGACTGCTAAATAGGCTGAAAACTAGATGGACCACTGGGATCAAAGACAGCATTAACCAATGGCTTGACAGCCAATTATGAGGGAAGATCAATAGCTACAGGGGCTAATATTATCCAGTATCTTCATCAGTGACCTTCATGATGACACAGAATGCACTCTTGGCAAACCTGTAGTCAGTGCTACATTTTGGGGATAGGGTGGGGTGGAAGACTTGATAGATCCAACAGGTAGAGCTTTACTTCGGAGGGACCTGAATAAAAAGCATTACAGAGCAAAAGCTAAAGATGGAGTAAGCCACAACAGCCCATCAGAATTGAAAATGAATTAAAGACAATTCCAAAGACACAGAAGAGACACTGCAAGATTTCCTATCCACCTGTTTTATATAGACTCTGCTTCTTTTCATTTTGAAGATTATCCTTCTGTTCTTGGTTCTCCTTATTCTTAATGTCCACACTAGTTTCAGTCCCTACAGCTCCAGGGGACACAAAGGTTGGAATAGTTGGCTGCACTGTGAAAACAGATGAAAAAAGAAAAATCATATGCTGCAAAATATGTGAAATAGTAACACTGCCTCACTAACTACTCTTTTTTTTTTTTTTTATTTTGGGCTACACAGGAGTTTTGCACTCAACTTTCCTGAATCCCTCATTTCTGTTTCTTTCCATTCCTCCTTAAGTATCTCATTTTCTACAGTGTGCCCTTACAAAATCTAGGATCATGTGGCATCTAGTCCTAATTATTAGATTATGTAACTGTAAATTGAGTGAAAAATAAAATCAGTTGCTGAAAAAGGGAAAAGAAAAAAAAAAAGGATTACCTCTATCTGAAGGTCCTTCTGAAGGAATAGTAGAAGAAGGTTTCCTTCTAAGTAAGGTAAGGCGTACAGCCTGTCCTGTGTTACGCAACGCTTCTACCACTTCTTGGTTGGTATAATCCTGTATATTAACTCCATCAACCTAAAACAAGAAAATGGTATCATACAATAGTAATCACATTACATTCTTAGGCTGTACCATACATAAGCAACATAAACATTATTTTGTGCAGAAATTATAGGGTTATTCACCCAAGACAGTAATATTTGCAAAACAATCTCATTAAATCAGTTACATTTCACTAATTACATAATATTTTCAAAATGCATTTTAAAAGGAAACACAACAGTAATTTTTTCTGTCTTCATGGGGCAACCACAAAACAGAATTTACTAATCTAAGTATGCACTGATTTCCCCCTACAATTTTTTTGCTTAAAAAAAACCAGCTTGAAGAGTATTGTGGATGAAGCTTCGCAGCAAGAGTAGTCAGCCTAAAACTCTGTTCAGTTCATTATGACTGTTAGTCTTCTCATGGATTTCTAACATGCCCCACGCAAGCCTATACACATAACTGTTGGTATAATCCACTCTGAACAGCCCAATTCTTTCATCAATTCAGATGTTTTAATTTACACCCAAAATACTCTGTTCACCTCAGTGTTAGATCACGCATCAATAGGGGCTTCTCCTGCAAAGCTGCAGACAAAAGCACAAGGTTGTATCAATTTTTGCTCTCACAAAGGAGAGGCTGACTTCGGAAAGTCTGGCATAGCACACATTTTTAAAGTAATTTAAAATCATATCTCTATAAATATTATCTCTTAAAACAAAAAGACTGTGTAATTTTGCTTGTACTGTGAATGCAAAATTGGCTATTATTCAATTCACTGTTATTCAATGGTTTTTAATTTTTCTACACATAAAGCTTGGGTTTTTAAACCTAAATTGTGACTATTAACATTTTGATTGTATCCACACTATGCTACACAGTCATTAAGGTCCATAAACACTGTGCCACATCTTGCAAAATCTTAACCATCCTCAAATCCCATTCAATTCAAATAGAAGCTAATGCTGCTCATCTTTACTTCGGGCCAAAAGCCAAGATTCTCCACTCTAAAACATTTTAATCCAAATGCTTGCCTCTTTCATAGTTAACTACTATTTACTACTTCTTTGAATATAAAATAATATTTTAATCACAGCAAGCCAAAGCTCATTTCTGTTACAAATCTACCTAAACAAATATGAACCATCAAATTATTTCCTCTGCAAAGCGGAAAAGGTTTAATTAATTTCAGAAAGTCTTTACTACGTTGTTCTTTTAACACTGAGATGTGTAATGAAGTATTAGTTCTACAACAAGATATATATAAGCACACTATTTTACTTACAGCAACAATTTTGTCATGAACATGAATTTGGCCATTGTGGTCAGCAGCACTACCAGGTATTATATTTTTCACAAAAATCCCTGAAGGTTCTGTTGGCAGGGGGGAGGGAAGGAAGAGAAACAAGTCACTACATTAACCTAATTTGTTTCTTTTCTTATTAAGATTTTTAATTACAGCCTTTTTCACACTCTACTTCTGTCCACGAAGTTATGATTCTGTAAACCACCAATATCTGCACGTTACCACTCACACAGCTTGACACAGAACGACTGAGGATCTCTGATGGAAAAAACAGCACCGATACAAACACCTGTACACTGACCTCTACATTTTTTCCTTAAAATAGCTCACAAAAGGCCACCTCCTCCATGGATTCATCCTTGTGCTTACCCAGGCTTTAAACCACAATCACTTAAATCCATGCTGCATTTGATTTCAATAGGACTACCTAAGCTAAAAGTAAAGTATGTGCTTAAGTACTTTGATCAGGACTTCAATCATCTTACAGCTAAGGAGTTTAGTGCTTTAAATCTTAATGAAAAAGGTTTTTTCTTTTAAAAAAAAAAAAGAAACATGGAAATCAGAAAAGCTGTCCTTTGTCATGTTTGACGTTTGATTATTAATTCTAACTTCTAATTAGAACAAGAAAATAAAAACAAAGCAAAACAGTAAAAAACCCAATCATCAGTTGAAACAGTAACCCTTCCCTTCCACAAACTCCCGCAAAATATGAGATGCTGATCTTTAATTCTAGCGAACCTTGACACTTCATCCATCCTTTTCTGAACACTAACCTTTCTCAGACACCTGCCCAACATGCTTTGTCCACGCTCAGCAAAACCCCTCTACTGGTGCTTCAAACCCACCTTTTCCCATTGCCTGACACATGCTCCTCCCCAACCCAGTGCCTGGGATTCCTGACCAGCAACACAAGAGGATCTCTGGGGAATGAAGAGGGCTGGAGAGCAACCCCAGCTGCATCACATTCCCAGAATACTTTCTTGAGTGCCACAAGGAAGGGGAGGGGATAAAAAGCACTACCCCTTTGTGTAAAACCAGATATTCAGCTGAGTCAAATTTAAAGATACTATTATTTGTGGAACCAATATTTGAAAGATGAGTTAACAGTTCTAATTTAAAGAGGATTTAGAAAAAAAAAACAACCTGATTCCATGTCCCCATATCCTAGCACAGGTATTTTAATCTGTTTCCAGAGTTTAGACACTGAAACAGCCATGTGCCGAAGACACATGTACATCATCTTGTGAAGGTGGCATACACATCACGCACAGCTAAGATTTTCTGCATCTCCTGCTTAGCAGAGGGATGGACTAGTTAATCTGACTGATCATTTCCACTCCTACAATTTATTAAACAAACGAAAGTTGCATGTTGAGCTATTTTGTACATACTGAAGATGCCATTCAAAAGTTAATGCAAACTGGGGACATCCAAAACTCTGTTTTTGGAATCCTTCTCAAAATGCGTTATCTGAATTGTGCTATATCCTGCAGGGGGAAAGTAAGGAACAGTGTGGACAGGAATCTGACTGTGTTAGAGTCTGTACATGCAGGAACTGTCTGCTACAGTTTAATGTCTTGCACAGTAACAACATAAGCATGTAAAATTCACAGACCTGCAGTCAAGTGGGAATTATTTTTTTAAGCTAATTACAACTCTTCAGAATTTTTTGTGGCTGATTTTCACTTTGCAGCAAATTCTCCAAATATCTTCTTCATAGATTTGTAAGTTACACTGTTTCAAAGAAGCACTATCCATTTTCCCCATAGTAAATAAAAGGTATTTGAGAAGCCCCTGTCCTAGACTTTACTAAATCCTGTAGAACTCACCTACATCACATGTGCCAGCATATCCAACAATTGTTATCCCAAGGCTTTGCCCATTCTTTTTTATAAGTTCAACATCATAGGTCTCAAAAAGGTTGGTATTATCCTATAAAGCAAGCACAAGACAGTAAAAAAAAAAAATCTCATAATTTCCCAGTACCATTACAGGTTAATTAAAATCTTCAGAAGTGAGCAGTGATTTTGATTTTCATATTTTGGGAGGGATCATATTTGCAAAAGAGATACACCCAAGATTTGCTGAAAATAAGGTGTCACCCAAAGTCATTAGTTGCTTTTTAAATTCTTTCCTAATACTTTCTCCACATACCTGTCAGAGGGTACAATATTTATAGTTTATGGAAAACAAGGGTTTTCGTTAGATTGCTCAGGGGCCATTTCCCTTTGGATTCTACTTGGTAACAACAAACTTCCTGGTCAATCCCACAAGACAACAGAAACCCTGAATGCCCTCAGAATTTCTTCTCTCCCTTTCATATGTTAGTCCTGATAAATACTGTCATGAATCCACTTGCCTGAGCTCCTTCTACTGGACAGTTAAGAAGCAAAAAAAACTGGTATAAATGCAGTATTATCACATCACACATTTCTGTCGGAAAAAGTGATGCTTATCTCTCCTTGTTACCACCTACTAAGGAAGTGAGGGGCAGCAGGAAAGGGATCTCAAAACAGAAACAGGTTCCATGCCCTGAAATGAAAGAAACCACATGCATAGTAGGCACATCTCTACTACAGAAGCAGTTGCCTACTTAAATGCAAATATGGGAGACTAGGTAGGTGTTTGAGCTTATTGTTCGTTTTTACGCTAGATCCCAAACCGAAAAACCATTCCAAAAGTCAATCTTGCACACATCAGCTTAACAAGCTTGATATGATCCTGTTCAGATTTGAATGCTACCAAACTGCAAAGAACACTGGAAGCCTCCAGGTTGTCTAAGGCAATGAGAAGCACAAGACTCATTAGTTCGCATTCAACAAAACTATTTTTAAGACCTAACAGAGGAAGGGAGAGTATTCATTTGTGAATGTTTTATTCTTGAACTGATAAGACCACTTCTCATAACAAACAATACTTGAAAAGAGAAGCACATAACAACATGACCTGTTATCCAAACCCCCTACTTAACTACAATTACCAAAAAACCATAAAAGGCACTAGCTAAGATTACAATATGATCTGACCTTACACTGCAGAAGTGTATGGAAAAAGGTCTCCACAAAGCTGGCCTCAATGTCTCTGCAACTCTACTCTGACAAGTAAAAATCAAAACTGCAAGACAGAGTTCAAACAGGACACACTAAAGATAGTAGGGATACCAAAGAGGAAAACAGTCAAAGCACATAGATCAGGGATTGCAAGGGATAAAATACATAAAGTTGTTTGTTTTCAGTAAGCAGATACAGCCCAATGAGATAAAAAAAGATGATGATCAGAGTAAAGTCTGTTAAAGTGATGAAATCAAGAGGGGTAGTGTCACTGCCAACAGCAAAAAATGGACCGGGAAATTGGAAAACATTTCTTAAGAGAGTGAACAAAAGAGAAGTTTAATCAAATGCTTGCCAAGTATCAGCTTTGGAAGCACCTATATTAAAAGCAGGCCAAAATTATGGCCATACCTATTTCACTTTTCACTGAAAGAGAAATCGATGGACAGCTATCTCCTTTCTTATCACAGACACCTCCCTCCATTAGCCAACTCATTAAGCTCATTAAATGCTTTCCAACTCTCTTGCTCCATAAGATGCTGATGGAGATGAAGATAAGTTTTGATGGTCTGTCACTTGTCTTTAGGAGAGGGAACCAAAACAGTAAACAAGCCTATAGCAACATCTGAAATGGAGCTATGGCCTTGACTGCTATTTTGACGGTCAAAAGCTCTTCATAGTCAGTGCTCTGGCCCTACAGACGTTTTCTCTAAGTAATGTTACTGGTAGAATGCAAAACATGAGAAGTGGAGTCTGGAAGAATCAAAGTAGAGAGTCCTAAATACAGCCAGGACAAGTAGGCTGCTAACATTGCTGTCAGTATCTTGGAGACTACAGATAATATGACTGTTCTCTTGCGCCCATGCATAGACATAAGTAGTTTCAGTTATTCTCTACTACAGGAAATTTAAAGGAAATCAAATATTAATATAAAACTGAAAAAACCTAACCATATATTAAAAACGCCTTTCTGCTGGTTTGCAAAAAAGAAAAGGAAAATATTTTCTATTCCAAAGCTCACAGCTAGTGAAAGTACTCAGAAACCAGAGAGAAATTAGATTATAGGAAAAAGTTCTGTTGTAAATAAGACACAAACTGAAAAGTGGACCATTAAAATCATCGTTAAGTTAATAAATACATTCAGATTAGCCACTATTCTTGACTTCAGCAAATCTCTCTTAACACCAGAAAGAGGAGTTTATTCAAATCTAAATATGAAGACATTATTTAGTTCAGAAAACAATAGATGACATTCAGAAAGAAGTAGATGAAATTGCAATGTGATTTTTTTTTCCCCCTCTAAACTACATAGCAGGAATAAGAATAAGACACTGAAAAGGCATCCAGAAGGAATAACATTTTTGAAAGGCTGCAGCATCTACAATGCTCGGGGTCGATTAGTGACAAACAGGCCCGCCTTTGAGGCGGGGAAGAGAGAAAAATAGTACTTCATAGAGGAAACAAAACTAGGACCATGTTATTTTTTCCTAATATGGGCCTTGGAAAATATGATACAGCCAGAAAAGAAGTGCTTCATAACGATGCTGATTCTCTAGGAAAGCCTTTTTTCAGAGTATTAGACAAGCCCACTTTTAAGACTCCAACCTTATGTACATAGATTACCCCCTCCCATCTCTCTGCCACTCACGTTTCCTACTACACCAATCCCTCTTCTGAGAAGAGGAGCTTGAGAAGGACCCAAAATACTTTACTGACAGCTTCAGCCACAGTAGTCTTCCAGAGAGATGCAAGACACAAAGCTAATGGCTGCCTTTGGAGTGACTATGCCCACTAAGCGAGAAGGTGAGTTTGTAACAATATGACTGCTAGTCTGACCTTTAAAAATGGTGCTTCAAAAAAAAAATAGCTCTCTTCACTCATATTCAAGAAACTAGACAAGAAAGAAAAGGCTACTCAGATTCTACACCTAAATCTAAGCAGCACAGTAGTAGCAGATGGTACACAAGCACAGCTTTGTTTATGTTTCGAGACCTACTGTACACTTAGTGTAGCATTTGTTGATTTTAATTACTCAAAACTGAAAAGAATGACTTCAAAAACAAGAGACTTTGATATGACCATGATAAGATTTGCTAAAACAAGTTTCAAAAATTTTAGATATATTTCCTATCACAGACAGTAGCGTAGACTATGAAAACATTACACTTATGTTTCATAAAAAGATGACTGTGCTGAATAATTCTGGTGTGGCCATGGCACTCTGGATTTCAGACTAGGGAAATTCACAGTCAAGTTTTAAATCCCACTTACAAATGATTGATTAGCAAAAATGTAATGAGCTAAGAAGGAGAACTAAAAGTACCATTTATCGATAACGTTTATGGCCTTGGTAATTAAATTACCCACTCTGAAATAAATTCTGTAGAGCTGGTCATTCTGATCCCAAGATTATAGGTATTAATAACACACAGGAAAAAGGGAAAAATTATAGAAGGCAAGGCTGTAATAATGACCACTTAAATACACACATATGATATCTGGAAACTCGAAACAAAAGCACTTTAGGTCTCAAGAACACTCTGTTCTCCTCCTCCTTTCTGATCACAAGCCACAAACGTACTTAAAAATGTCATAAGTAAACACCAGATACTTACATTTCCATTTTGAAAGGAAGGTAATGCACTGACTGGCCAGCTCACAGGAGCTGGTGGAGTCTCCATAATTTCACACTTTGGGTCTCTTGCAACGATCATCCTTACAGAATTCCCACAGTTTCTCAGCACTTGGGCTACTTGTTCACTGGTCATTCCTTGCACATTAGTCCCTCCAATCTGCAAGATGTGATCTCCTGTCCGGAGCCTCCCATCCTTCAAAAATAAAAAAAATCTGCAAAAAATGTTTCCAGTCTATACATAAAATATCTTTTCCATTACAAAATTGAAACTGTGTACAGGCATCTCCATGGCCATGAGAGCCAATGCAAGAAAATACTATAAAATTGACCACCACGCCAACATACTAAATAATTCAAGGAACCGTTTGCATTGTTTTTTTCCACAGTAGTTCACAGTGGTAAATCAACCTTTCCAAAACTCAGTAAGATACACAAGTTGAATAGCACCATTCCTAAGAAAGTGGTTACTTTTCTCATTTAGGAGAAAACAGACAGCAACAATGTTTTATAATCTAACAGGTTGTTATGTATTGCTGTTTCATAGAATACTCCTCATCGGATAAGCATTAGAATAAAAAGCACGGCATTTTGATTTAGGACTTTCTATATTAGCCTGGCAATTCTTTTCTCGTATGACTAGCTCCAACTCAAGCAAGTAAATCCACTGAAAGTAACAAGACTCCACACAAACCATTTTACATGATAATTATGATTCATGACCTACATCATCATTTCTGTTATAAGCAAGCATTCATAGAACCAAATCTTCAGCTGGTATTGATCAGCACAGCTCCACCACTTTAGGTGAATTGATTTATACAGCAATCATAGTGGAGTTATTCCCAGAACTAACTCAAACTCATTTACAAACTCATCCAATTTTAACATGTATATGTGCTCATTATTTCACATGTTCTTAATGATGTCTCATTCAGCTGAGAATGATGTGGTGTGTTCTTAACTTACGTGCTTCATTTGTAGCCAAAACACTTTATTCCTTACAGCAAAACAGGTGTTACACAATAATTAAAAAATACTCAGTTATACATGACAGGTTCAGAGGGAGGCAGTCAAGCAAAAGCCAGCATTTTCCAGTAAAGCTCTCTGAATCTCCAGTTTTTGTTTCCATCCTATACTAGAGGAAGCACCTTAGCCTCTCTCTTTTGTATGTTACAGGATCTTGTCTGCATGGGCTCCAGACCTCAAATATTGTAACTTGTCATGACCAAATTCACATTAAAAATCCAAATCTGTTTTGCTATTGCATGTGTTCTACTCCTGAAATGTAGCAAAACTTAGCACTGAGTCTTTAAATCAAAGGTTGCAAACTGTACCTGTGCAACTTTAAAAGGTATCAGTAACTTCAAAAGGCTTTGCATCAGTCCTACGTGTCTCCTTGAACTGGTCAGACCGCAAGGCAGGCATCAAAACCCCTTTAAAATGAAACTCACTAAAAATAGGACATCTTCAATCTATAAACCAAATCTTGCAATGCAATTACTTCAATAGGGCTGATTCTCTTGCCTTGGCGAGTTTGTCCCTATAGATGTTGCCAAATGTGCCAAATTCTACAGAGGATGTGCAAATCTATTAAGCGTATTTGTCCTCCCCAGACTGACCAAAGGCTCAAAATATCAGAAGTATTGAAAATATTAGAAGGTTAGACAAATTTTCAGAATTTCTGCATGTTCAACAATGTTATAAAAGCCAAAGCATGTCTGAGAAACAACTTAATTCATATCAGGTGCTGACTTTTTCCTCAATCATACCTTCAACATATTTATTTATGAAGTATATGTTGGCATTCAGACTTTGATGCTATCAGCTTCCTTTTGTTTAAGTATATTAGTTTATTTTAAGACTGTCAAAACCAGTTAATTATACTTTAAAATCAAACAAGAAGTGACATAATATAACAAATTACCCGATCTGCTAATCCCCCAGGAACAATTGTTCTTACAACTACTCCACTTGACTTTCCTCCTACAATTCCAAAGCCTAATCCTGAACCATCGTTAATCAGCTCAACGTCTTCAACGTGGCCCCAGTGAATCTGCAATTAATAAAAACAGGAGATTTTAATTTCAGTCGATCTTTAATGTTTCTCACTTTCACATGTACCAGGAATGACGAGAATTAATCAGAGCAATTTTCTCTCTCTATCCCACATACTGGAGATCTGTTGGATTTTGTTCAGTCAGCTTCATTTCCTTATAAATACGCAGTGGGATTTCTCATCTGTTTTTAAACATCCATTTTGTCCTTCACTTTCAGGATAACAGGATACTAGGAAAAAGCTTGACTAAGAAAAAGCAATTTTAAGATTTTCTTGCCAAAACGAAAACTATCCTTTTAGGTTTTCATAAATCAAGAATACTGCAAACAACAGAGAAAAACAGAGGCAAGGAGCTTGCACTGGCCTAGTTTTCGCTTAGCGTTGCCCAAATTCTTATTTCTGTTATTTCACTTACACACTCTAAACACCATCAGTACACGCTGAATTAATAGCACAGTAGGATATTCTGCCATACTGAATTGGAAGCATGTTTCTAAGCTACACTGTACCATGACCTTATGTTCTACAAGACAATCTGAAAATAACAAAGCTGTTAAGCAACCCAAACCCAGCCAATGTTTCTGTCAGATTAATATCTCATAGAAACCAAAATGGAGCAAAGTAGGCAGATTTAAGTCTTCTGTGAATAAAGGATTTATTAGCATACTGAAAATCTTTGCCAAAGCCAGTTAAATATCATAAAAGAAGTTTAAAGACCCCCTGTAGAGATATATATTTGTGTTTTATTTTGTTAGTCTGTTCAGTGCAGATCTTTCAATGAAAAAGCAGTTAAAGTTTAATTCTTTAAAATTTTCAGTGCAATAAACAATATTGATTATCCACTAAAACCTTCAGATTTCACTAGCTCTGTAATAATCATGAGGGAAATAATTACTGAGAATAAGGAAAAGCACTGCTCTTAACCAGATTTTCATCAAAACCTACTAGCATAATAAATTAAGATTCCAATATTGCAAACCCTGGATTTAGGTGTGCAGTTCAACCAAATTCAGTGAAGCCACCCGGACCATATGGTTTGAACACAGATGGAGGTTCAGCCCTAGCTTATTACATCTCCCAGTGACAATCTCTCCTTGTTCAAGAAAACAAAAAGGTTCACAATCAATGAAATTTGCAGATAAAAAAACTCCTGATAAATAAACAGGGATTGAGAGTTTCTTTAACAGATACTTTTTGTTTGTTTTTAAAACAAAGACAAGGCTTTTTGTTTTGAGCAGTTTAAGTTTAAATTGGTTGGGATATTTCAAGCAATGCTCATGATAGGTTATGTTTACACTCTTTTAAGATGTAATCAGAGCATCTTTAATTGCACAAGTAGGTTTCAGCTGGGTATACTCATAAAATGCTTTACCCAGCCTATGCTGAACAGACCCTGCTGCTAAGAATATGTTGATCTACTAAAGCTTCTGCTATCCCATAAAAACCCAGGATCTATTTTATAACAACTTCATGCAGCTTTGCAATGGAAGCCCTATACTTATTGCATGATCAGTCTAAATGAAAAGCCGTCACATATAAAATCTGACTAAAGAAAAAAATCCCTATATGTAAAGCTTGCTAACACAAACACAACCACAAAAAAAAATCCAGCATGGTTCAAAATCTGATTTTGACAGTATTACAACAACTCACAGTCTCAGGTGGATTTATATCACTTAATAAGACAGCCGAAGTTCTGCTGTTTCCTTGAACCGGCTCCCTAGCAACAACCAGATGTAGAGATCCTGTGGATTGCTGGAGGAGGGCAATAGCGTGCTGATGGGAAATGTTCTGATCCAATGGGGTGCAATTAATGGCCAGTATGTGGTCATTTTCCTTTAGTCTTTGATCCCTTAACAAAACATTAAAAGAAATTTAAAAATGCAGCATAGTGACTTCACAACAGGCTTGTGTAATTTAAATATGAACATGCAAAATACACAGTTATGCAAGGTTAAATATTTATATATTTTAAAAATCTACTTATTAGACTGTCTTCACCAACACACAAACTAGATGCAATCCACACTGTACTGAACTGCCCAGCTATATTTCGTTCCAACTTTATCATGGTACAGAAATTTGCTCAATTGATTCCTTTGCTTCTATTCAAAATTCAATGAAATTCTCTCATCTTTTCTTGATGATATTGAATTACAGGGCAGAAAAAATTTATTTTTGTAGTAATACAATGAACTAGGAACTATTCTTCATTATGTTTAGCACTACATGATACTATCTCTAAGTAGCCACAACTCAGGCTATGATATTATTTTGTATCATTATTTAATCTAAAGATCGATGAGCTGCATATTTATATTTTACTCAAAATTTACAGTATCAAACTTCAAACTTCGAGCAATACACAGTTCAACTTATACCTTAAGAGAATATAAATTTCACAGTTAATTCACCCCAGTGATGAATTTAGATTTGTGACAAAAGAGAAACCATCACTCATCTCCTTTGTTAAATATTCATTCTGAGCACGAGACCAAACTGTTACATAGACAGACACTGCCTTCAAAGCTCTGTAGGAATCCAAAAAAAGTCTCCAGGAGATCTTGTCTCAGAAGCAAAATGGGAAGCATGCTGGGGAAATTTATAAACTCCAAAACAATATAACTGCACATCTTAACTAACGCATTTTAAACTTCCTTTTTATCTTGCGACGTTTAAGATGTTTCCCAGAAATCACTTTCTTCAAGCACTAACCATATTTTAGATTCTCTCATCAAAGAAAGTGAGCAGCAGGTCACCAAATCCTAAAGTGAGATATTCACCCTCCTTTGACATCCGGATCAGTCCATCTGTCTCCACTTTGAAAGAGCCTAATATGCTTTTCTTTAAGTGTTCTCTGGTGTGTTCTCTGTGGGCCCATAGCCATTATCATTCCAACCTCTCCCCACTCTTTTTGTCATCCAGTGTTGGCACTTCCTGACATGTGTTATTTAAAAAGTGACACCAATGACTTGAAATCTAGACACATTTTCTTGAAACATAATTCCAAGCACTGCATTTGTCTCATGCCAACTCTTGTGGTTTTACAATCACATTTTATTTTTAAAGGATTGCTCTGTCTTTTGTTGTTGGGTGAAAACCCACAGACAATACGGGAAGAAACTGCCTGAAGCCTTGATTCTATGATGACATCTGTGCAAGGATCTGTTGGGAGGACTGGATCTAAATTTACACAGGAAACAAACAGTAAAACCATCTATAAATAGGGCATTGTCATAAGCACATAAATAAAGAAACAAGGGGAAAAAAAAAATCTTTCAGGGACACAATGCATAAAAATTTCAAACAAAGGCTAATTTTTATTTTCCTTGTATTCTTTTCCGAGTTTTCTTTTGTTTTTTAATCAGTACTCAAGATTCCCTTAAGTGAGTCATGATTTCTGGAAATTCCATTTATGAATGGCTCAGATATTTAAAACTCATCTGAAAATCTGATCCTCAAAACATGAGCCCATTTAGTTGAAAAGCCAGAATTCAAGATACCACCAACAAAATATCCCACCAGATAACCCAGACAAACATGTTAGTCTGATAGAGTTTTCACTGTGAAAGTTGTGACTTTTCCCTTCATGGAAATACTGCAATTTTCCAATACAATTATAAAGATCTCACCTGTCAGCTATGCTTCCTGGCTGGACTTCCTTGACAAAGATACCAACTTCTCCCAAGCTGTGATTTTTAAGGGCAACCACACTAAATCCAAGACCTCCAACAGAAGGCTTTTCAATCTTCATTGATTCTATTTGTCTCCCCTAATAAAACAGAAAAAATTGATTTACTAATTTTTAATGCAATACAATGAACTAGTTTAAAATTTATGAACACCAGGAGAATTATTCTTCTCCTAAGACTAAACAAAGGGAAAATACTGAATATGTTATTTCTATAAAAGCTCCTCCATTTATTATTTTTAATATAGCAGAGTATTGGATATGCAAGCACTCTGAGGTTCTGAAACCTCAGGGAATTTAAGAGCTGCTTTCACACTTCATTCACATTATGAGATGAATTCCAAACTGGATGAAAACTATGAACGAAGTGCTGTCTAGAGCAATATATTTGGGATTTCTGGAAATGCTGCATAGCTAAACTAAATTACTTGTCTTTTGGCTCCCCTTGCTTTTAATGCTGATTTTTAGGTGTGCGTTCAAAAGATTGCAGCTTTTAAATAAAGAAATTAATTTCCTTCCCCTCCCTGCAACTTCACACTTAATGCTAAAAAAAGTTTGCTTTTGCGACTGCCTGCTTTTCAGTTCTAATACAAGATCTCTGGGATTGTTTACTGGGAAACAGTACTTAGAGAATGCACTGCTATCACAGCTGTTTTGTCCAAAATAATGTGCAGTCTTTACTGCTAAACCTTTTATCTGATGAGTTAATGACACACTAATGAGGAAAGTTATGCTCAAAATATTACAGCTACATTAAGGTAGTCAATTAGCAACAGTTACTTAATATAGAAAGGCATGACTAACCAATTAAATTAATGGTTCAAAGCAACACAGAACAATACATTTGAGGTATAAACACCAATCCCACGTGGGTGGATGTCTGCACCTGTACAACTTCCATAAGTGTCTGGTACATGCTACATCACATGTTAATGAAATCAGCATCTGTCTGGCAAAGTTAAGACATACTAAATGAAGAGTTAAATAAAATATTACATGCCAGTTCTTTTAATCATTTGCGCTGTTCATATATTAACAAAGTTGGTATTTTTCCAATTTAAAATGTACTTGATAAAATAAGTCTCTCCATCAAAACAAGTTTCTGCAGAAAATGTCCATTTTCAATTAAGTGTCATCAAATACCAAAAAAGTTTTCTGGCAACTGAAATTTCTTTTCTACATTGGTGTGTTTGGTAGAAAGTAAGACAAAACAATTGGCAAAGGAAGAAAAAAAACCAACCCACCACCAAACCGCTTTCCATTGCTGACATTTATCTTTCACAGGGAAAAGTTATCCTCAACACTTCTACTCTCTTACTGGCTAGGAGGCACCACACTCCCAGATATACAACAAAAGAGCATGTTTGAAAATGTACTCCAAAAGCCTGCAAGAAAAAGTTTGACATTAAAGGAAAACAAGTTTGGTTGACTAAACCTCAGAGCCTTACCTTTGCCATCTGTTGGATGATTGCGTTAAATTCATTAACTCCCAGGTTTGGGGTGAAGGTAGATGCTTTGCGTTCAGGTGAACTGCAAGGTGTATACACGCTCCCAGCAGCAACTGATTTGTCAGCAAACACTAGTAGCCCTCTCTTAGTAAAATCAAAATCTACTGAACGGTCAGGGGGCATATAATTGAGCTGTTGAAAATGAACAAAGATGTAGAAAAACTATTAAAAACAAAGAAGAGATTTCCATATATATCATCTTGTGTGAAGACTGCCAAAGAAGCAAGCATACATATGTTCATATATGCCTATTCACACAAATATATTCACCTGTATAAATTCGGCAATGTTAATATATAAGCTATAACCAAGCTACCGTATCAAGTTTAAACTGTTTTTCAGAAGGAAAAGTTCCCTGAATATTTCAGCTGTGTTTCTACTCCACCCATTTTCTCCTTTTCTTTCATTCTGCTTCCCTGCCCGTGCCCATTATCCTCTTTTCACCCTGATATTCCAGAAACAACACATGCAAAAGCAACAACATTAAAGAGGCAGTCAAGCACTGTTGCAACTGTCAGGCAAACCTAGACAATTTTGGCACAAGAATCCAAATTTTTTAAGAGTCACTTAGTCACTCAGGAGCCAAACGCCTGGTCTGTATTATCTCCTCCCCAGAGAGAGCCTAGGGTACAAACTAACTACCATTGAACATGTTATCATTGCTAGAACTTTCAGTGCGATGTCTCGTCCCGACAGATAATGAAGAAATGCAGAAATATTCCCAGTGCAACATAGTAAACTGAAAAATCCCATCCTGAATGAAACTGCTCATGAGGGACATGCTTAAAAAGAATTTCAAGAAAAACAACATTTTCTAGATATGATAATTCTGAACATCCTGGATATAAAATCCATTATGCCACAGTCACAAAGCATGATCTTAAATATATTTGCATTTTCATACATTTTTAATAGCTTGCAGACATGCATCCAAGCTTTGGAAGGAAGGAACAGGAGCAGATACAGCACCTTTGTGAACATAGGAAGAAGGCATGGCACAACCGCTACCATGCCACCCAGGCAGGAATATGTGCAATACATTTGGCAATGACAGCAAGGTGGCCTCGTGCCCCTATAGACACCCACCCTCTATATCTGCAACCGGGCAGGTGCAGTAACAGCAGAGACAGAGATCGCTGCTGCTTAGGGTATGCCAAGTTAGTCCCTGATTTTAAGTTTGCATGCCTGACTCGGCTAACTGCACGGTGAGACCTGTTCATGCAGATGTGTCATGGATGCCCATGTCCACAAGATCTAAGTGTCAGTAGGCATTGTAAACCAATCCACACAAGTTCCTTCCGCTGCTGGAGCCAAGTCATTTTAAAGCTAGCTTGGGTACGTCTGCATCAGAGCTTGGCAAATCTTCAGGGGTGGTTTTCTAGATTGTATTTCCCAAAACAGGTTAACCATTCTCATACAAGTCAGCAGGAGCTAAGCAATGATGTCTTTTAAGGAGAAAAGATGCTGCCAGTTAGTTGATAAACAGTATTTAGCTCCTGTGAAAAACAAAGGATCCCAGTTCCAACTGTGTTCAGAACTCAAACTACTAGAGCTGATGTCTTTTGCAGATGTTTTTCTCCGACTGATGTGGTTCTCAACACCTGCCTCTTCTGCATCCTTTTCAAAGCACGTTGCCCCATGACTTGTTTGTTGTAATACCACTTCTCATTTCAGTAGTGACTCTCTAGCTTGACCAAAAAAAAAAAAAAAAGCCCAACATTCACTCACACCAAATTACAGCTTATTAATGAGAGCGCCCTCATTAACACACGCCTATGTATCCTGTTTTAAGTTCCAAGTTCACTATAGTTATCATCACACCAACAACCGTAATTTTACACTCACTTGTTCCTTCAGTTGCTTGATGGATTGCTGGAGGGTCAGGATCTGGTTAAACAAAGGACTCCTGAGCGTGTTACGCAAAACAGTCAGGTTTTCATTATGTTGGGAATCTCTTTTCTCACGCAGTTTTGCTTGTAGACGATCAAGGATCTGCAGCACCTGCTGTTTATCTGCACCACAAAGTAGTACATGTTAGGAACGGAGCTTCATTTCTCACTGTTCAACAAAAGTAATCACTTTCAGACCACGTACCTGCAGCAGGATTTTCAGGCATGTTGAAAGGTATGTTTGGAATTATTCAGAATAATCTAGATGAGGTTTTAAAAAAAATCAAATTAATAATCTATATATCAGAGCAGAATGGTAACAGATACATAGTCAATAAATGCAATAATAAAATACTAAGCTAACTACAACAAATTTAATAAAAAAATACTATTACCCTGTTGAATACTTGAGGTAAACAACACAAAGTTCTCAATTCAGCTACTTGCACTGCAATCTCAGCACACCCAAAATCTTTCCGTGTTCTGTGTGCTTTTCCTTTCACACACAGGAAGGAATATGAACAACTCTTTCAAATATTAGTAAAAATGCAGGTTATAAAAACAGACATTGTCCAAGAAAACTGAGAGATAGCTATGTTCAACCAAATTATTTTTAATCTGGACGTTAAAGTTGTGATCTTTTCAAATATACATACAGTTAAAATCTTCCTATTATTTAGAAGATACCTTCTACCCAATTAATTATTTGTAGACAGTATTCTTATCATGATAGCTCAGCCCTGCTGCATGGCAATATAGGTGAAACCTTGCATTTCCCTATAAAACAATGAAGTTCCCTCCACTCACAAGATAGCATTAGAGCCTGAAATGGGCCAAATCTATCCCTATTCCAACACGTTCCTAAGGGAGGTCAGTTCTAATCGCAGCCCCGGTGCTGAACAAGTAAAAGAAGCCTCTTCTCTTCTCCTACGTGAGCTTGCCTTTCTCTTTTCTATGTACATGACAAGCTTTTAAGGAGCAGAATATCCTTTATCACGCTACTCTACAGTGCCAAGTAGAACAGGTCTCCAACTGGGGCTGAGGCCTAGATGGCAGTACAAAAACAACAGACTTGCAATTAACAGCGACGATAAATTTGTACCCTTACTTGCATACTATTATGTTGATGCGGAGCCTGTCATTCTGAAATCTGTCAAGGCAGTTATACCAAAACATACACAAGAAACAAGATTTCTTTACTTAGTACAAGCTCCTCTGAAAAAAGTCAGCCATTTAATAGCACAATTTGCATATTTTTAACTCCACCCAGTATATAACTCTGTAATTTCAGAATAATATATTTGGAATTATTTTGGAACAAAACCAGCCATATACATATTAAAAAAAAAAAATCTCTGTATTTACGTTTTTAATCTTGCAATTCGAGAGTCGAAAGAGTCATATGCATCTGAATATAATACCAGGGTAAGCACATCCCAGGGGCTCTCTCCCAGCAGGGCCTCTGATCCTTTCAGCTCTGCCTCCGACGCTGCCTGTGCTCACACTGAAAACATCTTGAGTTCTGGAAGGACAGTGTTATCTTTAACAAAATATTACGTATGCAGGTGAATAGCTTGTCTTCCCCTGAAGAGTGAGATTAAGCTGATTTACCTAATGGAAAAAAAGTGGAGGTGTGTCACAAGCCACAATTTCAGATTTATGCACCCTTTACTGTATCTGAGCAGCTTTGGCTCCTGGAGGAATTCCTGCAGAACTTGGTGGGTTTGCGTGGTTTCCACCCAGGGCCAAGCAAAATGAGTCGCTTTGCAAGACTATTAACAGATTTAGGAGGTCATTTTAAATCAATCTCATAGCAAGAGTTGAAGCAGCAAACCCATACAACCCCTGAAAGATTTTCAGGAATGCATCTGAACTTTCCTAAGTGCTGCAGCTTTATTTTCTTTTCCATTTGAAATAAAACACTCCTAAGAGCACAGCAGCCTTTGATTCTGTGCTGAGATCTGATTCTGAAGAACAGATGAAAATACCATTTCCTTACACATTCCTGAGTCTTCATCTAAACCAAAAAGACAAAACTTAACCTTCTTGACTAAAAATATTGCTTGAATTTTAACAAAACAGGACAAAGAATACAGAAATTTGTTCTTTCTTCCCAATTTAACTTCCCTCCATTCACTTCCTTCCTCTATCTTTCTATCTCACATCAGCAGTTAAAAGAGGAAAAAAAACCCTAAAGCAAGCGAACCAACATCAGAAAGGGATGCAAAATAACTCTTTTAAGGAAAAGTGGCTTGAAACACCTTTAAACCAGCAGTAGGGTGAAGAAAAGATTAAACCCAGAAAAGAAATCCAGCATGGCAGGAAATAATGCCGATTTGACAACACCATGCCCATCTAATAGCTGAAGCGAAGAGGCTGGTCCAGCTCTCTTTCATGCATTTTGTTCTTCCCTTTCCATCTGTGCTTCCACTCATTCATCTGATCCCATAGTGAGCTGGAACAGGGAGCTAAACACACAGAAAAAACCTTCACATTTTGGTAGGGTGAGTTTTTTACTCAATTAGCTCTCAACTGCCAGCACTGGCACGCAGGATGGGGGCGAGAAGTGCTGGGGCAGCGGGACCACACCTTGCAGCAGCAGCAGCTAGCGGTTGCAGCAGCTCAGCTGCACTGGCAAACTGCACCATGAGAAATAGCCTGCGTCATTCAAAAACAGCCTCAAAGTGCCGCGCTGACAGTCTCCAAGATTAATCTTTTTTCCATTACAGCGGGTGTAACAATAGCAATTATGACTGTGGGTACAGATCCAAGAAAGCAAAATTTAAGCAGAAAAATGTAGGTAAGAGATCTAGGCTCCATCTAGGCAGAAGTCCGCTGGAGAAGGAGGTGCAAAAGAGGGAGGGAAAAAAAGATTAAAGAAAGTTTCAGCTTCCTGCTTGAGCTGCTCCAAAGCGTTGCAGACCACTCTGTGCTGGTGGATGCCAAAGTGGACCTCAGGTACAGTTCGTTTAACAGTTCCAAGTTTACACAGCACTTTGGGATTCCTCGTGATCAAAGCTGGCCTCCAGCCAGCTTGCAATGACTTTTAATGATTTTTTTTTTTTTTTTGTGCAATATGTTAAAAGCACCCTCAGTATTTCTTTGTTCTCCTTTCTTTCATAAAAAAGAGTGGGGGGGGAAAAAAAAAGTGTGTTATATTTTAAAGTAAACAGCTCCTTCTGGTGTGAGGGGATCCCTGAAAATATAAAGTAATTTAAAGTTTTCAAGTAATATATAATTGAGGACAGGTCTCTAAGACTGCCTTTTGAGCACCAGAGAAACACACAACTATTAAGCTGTTTATGTTTGGGGATCCAAACAGCTTATCATTAAACGATTTCCAAACACGGATGCTAAGTCCATGCAAGGTGTCAACAGACAGTTGCTAAATTAGGAGGTCCATTCCTAGATGATAATTTTGAAGTGATCCAAAACACTATGGTTTGTCTTGTTAAAATCAGTTCACTCACTCCGCATTCAACTTCCTTCTCTGATTTCTACAGCCACTTATTTATCTTACTGGTAGACAAAACTGCAAACCTCAGTTCAAAATTTATTGGGAGTCACAACTCCCAATATAATTGTAAAATCATTGAGAAAATAATGAATTTCAGAAAGTTTAGTGTTTTCTAACACCAGAAAAAAACCCACACTCCAGCACAGCGTGCATCTGGGTTTTTACTGTCTTCACTTTTGAGAGCTGAACTCAATGCATCATAGGGAGCGGGAAAGTTTCATAAGGTTTTGTATGAAATCCTAAGACTTGGATCTTCTTCAAAAGCAGACTAAGAAAAAAGGAATTCCCCCATGCTGATGCCAGCAGAGGTCATCAGAAGAGCTGAAAGATTTAAGTCTTCCATTGCCATCCCCCCCCTGCCAGATGCCTGCCACTTGCATGGAGACACAGGGTGCTCAACCCCGGCACATCCCAGAGCCAGAGGGGAACACGACACCCCTGGCAGTGGCATTGACAAACACTTCTCCGCAAAGGTCTGCTGAAAGACAAAAATAAGGGTTTTCCTGCTGGGGTCTGACAGAGGACACGGTTTAGCCAGCAGAGATTCTTCTTCCCATTTCTCCCCAGCCACCTAACAACTACAACCGCTTCTGCCCTACATCCTTCAACTTGGCCTCCAACAACCTGCGTCCTTCCAAGAGACGCGCCTGCAGGGAAGGCCCTGCCTCCTGAGAGGCTCTTCCCGCTCAGCGTGGCTTTTGGGACATGAAATACTGTGAGTCCTTAATGCACAAGTGCTAACTGCTGCTGTTTTTCAAAAGCTTCTAGCACGGCCAATCTGAGCAGCCTGCCACGGGAACAGCCAAGGGTACATCCCAATCCAAAGTCACCTTTCTACACTAACGCAGTTGTAATTTTTCCTGGCCCCGTTATCAGGAGCGACTGATACAGTGCATGCTGTCTTCTTCATCAGAGAGATCTCTGACTCAGAAAATTTCAGCCCCAACAGTTTAAAATTTGATAAAGGCAAAAGAAAGGGAAAACAGCATTTGTTAGTGTGATCTCAATCCTAAATTGTCCTAACACAGCATCACCTGTAAGTTCAGATATTAAAAAAATTATATAGTTTACATGCCATCAAGCAACTATGTACTGTGAAAAAACGACACTATTCTAACACATATTTTGCTGTCCTACACGTTATGCCCAGTTTTCCATCCTGGTAACGCACAGAAGAATTCAGTCCAACCAAGCTTAGCACATACACACCTTTCAGATGAAACCACCAAAACCTGCTGTGTGATGCTGCAGTATTTATAAAAAGTGCTATAGAGCACGTGCTGACCGCTCCAGGCACTCAAAAGAAGGAAACAACTGAACAGTGCTGTGAGTATCTAAACACAAATACACCAGCCATCTCCAGGGTGAAGCAGGTCAAAGCTAAATATTGTTAAATATAAAAAAACTACTCCATGGGCAAACTGAGCATGTCCTGTTTTTACATACAATTAGTGACCACAAGATGAGGAAAGCAAAAAAACACCATCCTGCATCTGTGATTACCAGTCTCCATGCAGATCAAGAGGAGTCTTAGTCACTCTCAAGGCACGCTAACTTTTAACAAGCAGAACCTGAATTCCTGTGGACTTCAGCCTCCAGGAAAGTGCCGGTGTGGGTTCTCTGATGTCTAAGAGAAGGGTGAGCTCACGCCGAAGCCATTCTCAGTGGAGCAATAACATGGTCTCAGAAACCTATTCTCACAAAGCTTGA